TTGGTAAAAATAAAGATGCATATCTCATGCTTTTCTTAAAAATCAATGCTAGCTTTAATCAATTATTGCAATAGTAAATTTAATTTGATAGAAACAGCAATTGATTATACAAGGTAACGTACAATAAATTTAACTAAATGCTTCCTTAAAGAACAACTTTTCATACCATTTAAGAAAGAATTACACTTAGATCACTGCAAGTTGATACACACACACACATATATAAACTGGTGTTAAATTCTTTAACTATAAACCAAATGCTGCTTCAAATAGATAGAAGACCTAAAGCAATGCTCTTAACAATGACCAGAACAAGTGGGAAAGTTGCTATTTAAGAGGTTGATTCTTAAAATATTCAGGCCCCAAGCCATGTGATGCTTTCAAAACCAAATAGCAGCAATTCGTATTGCCCTGGAAACAGATTTAATGTAGTAAATTAAAATAGATATAATGTGGTCATCCAAACTTCTGCATCAAATATCAGATTCTTTTCAAGAGAAATCTCACATAAAGTGAGATGCATCAAATCTGGAAGGAGCTATTTAAAACTGAGTAACTGTGCAAGGTGTGCTTTTGTTAGGATGGCAGCAAATGGGAAATCATGTGAAGATGGAAAAGATAACGAATACCTGAACAAGAGTAACCTGAACAACAAATCTGTTATTTTATGAATATGACTCCTCAAAATAAATTGAACATTTACTTAGATAACTCACTTACAAATGTATTTTCATTCTATATTATATACTTCTGTTCTGTCACTGATCAGATAAAATGAAAGAAAGAGCTGGTATCATCTGAACATTATTAATATCAGAGCCCAAAACTTCACCCAGCAATTTTATGCAGATGATAAATATATGAAACTTTGTGGAACATTTTATTGATTAAGAGAAAATAGTCCCTTCCCCACTTCCCACCCAAGTAGCCTTGTTTGTCAATAATGAAAGGAATAACTTAAACAATACGCTCACCATACCTCAGCAATATAGAACGTTGAGGGTACAGAATACAATTAAAATATTTAGCAAAATCAGTAAGGTTACATTCTTTCAGCTATTTTCAAAGACAAGCCATATCCACAAGCATCAAGGCAATTTCTGTGTTAAAACCAGTGTAGAAAAGAATCTAGTCTTATTCTACAACTCCAACAAAATATTTACTCTTATTTTCTCCTTTGCTAAAAAGAACAAAAATGTGTGAACTTCAGCCTGTTACTAAATAACTGTTTGCTAAAGGATGACCCTTTAAAGGTAGGAAGCCAAAAGATAACCGGAATAACAGGCAAGTTTGGCCTTGGAGAACAAAATGAAGCAGGGCACAGGCTAATAGAATTTTGTCAAGAGAATACGATGGTCATAACAAACACTCTTTTCCAACAACCCAAGAGACGGCTCTACACAGGGACATCACCAGACAGTCAACATAGAAATCAGATTGACTATGTACTCTGCAGCCAAAGATGGAGAAGCTCTATACAGTCAGTAAAAACAAGACCAGGAGCTGACTGTGGCTCAGATCATGAGCTTCTCGTTGCAAAATTTAGGCTTAAATTGAAAAAAAGTAGGGAAAAGCACTAGGCCACTCAGGTATGAACTAAATCATATTCCTGATGAATATACAGTAGAGGTGACAAATAGATTTAAGGAACTGGATCTGATAGACAGAATGCCTGAAGAACTATGGATGGAAGTTCGCAACATTGTACAAGAGGTAGCAACTAAAACCATCCCAAAGAGAAAGAAATGCAAGAAAGCAAAATGGCTGTCTGAGGAAGCTTTGCAAATAGCTGAGGAAAGAAGGGAAGCGAAAGGCAAAGGAGAAAGAGAAAGATACACCCAATTGAATGCAGAATTCCAGAGAGTAGCTAGAAGAGATAAGAATGCCTTCTTAAATGAACAGTGCAAAGAAATAGAAGAAAACAACAGAACAGGGAGGACCAGAGATCTCTTCAAGAAAATTGGAGATATGAATGGAACGTTTCATGCAAAGATGGGCATGATAAAGGACCAAAATGGCAGAGACCTAACAGAGGCAGAAGAGATTAAGAAGAGATGGCAAAACTACACAGAAGAACTATACAAGAATGAGCTTAACATACCAGATAACCACAATGAGATGATCATTGACCTCGAACCAGACATCCTAGAATGTGAAGTGAAATGGGCCTTAGAAAATCTGAGCAACAACAAAGCTAGTGGAAGTGACAGTATTCCAGCTGAGCTATTCAAAATCTTAAAAGAAGATGCAGTAAAAGTGCTACACTCAATTTGCCAGCAAATTTGGAAAACTCAACAGTGGCCACAGGATTGGAAAAGGTAAGTTTACATTCCAATTCCAAAGAAAGGCAATGCCAAAGAATGTTCAAACTATCGCACCATTGCACTCATTTCACATGCTAGTAAAATTATGCTTAAAATCCTACAAGCTAGACTCCAGCAGTATGTGGATCGAGAACTACCAGAAGTGCAGGCAGGATTTCGAAGAGTCAGAGGAACTAGAGATCAAATTGCCAACATACGCTGGATCATGGAGAAAGCTAGGGAGTTCCAGAAAAACATCTACTTCTGCTTCATTGACTATGCAAAAGCCTTTGATTGTGTGGATCACAACAAATTGTGGCAAGTTCTTAAAGAGATGGGAGTACCAGACCATCTCATTTGTCTCTTGAAAAACCTATATGCGGGTCAAGAAGCAACAGTGAGAACCGAACACAGAACCACTGATTGGTTCAAAATTGGAAAAGGAGTCCGGCAAGGCTGTATACTGTCGCCCTGCCTATTTAACTTATATGCAGAGCACATCATGAGAAAGGCAGGGCAAGATGAATCAAAAGTTGGAATTAAGATTGCCGGGAGAAATATCAACAACCTAAGATATGCAGATGATACCACTCTAATGGCAGAAAGTGAAGAGGAACTAAAGAGCCTCTTGATGTGGGTGAAGAAGGAGAGTGCAAAAGTTGGCTTGAAACTCAACATTAAGAAAACAAAAATCATGGCATCCGGCCCTCTCAATTCCTGGCAAATAGATGGGGAAGAAATGGAGGTAGTGACAGATTTTATTTTTCTGGGATCCAAGATCACCTCAGATGGAGACTGCAGCCAAGAAATTAAAAGACGCTTGCTCCTGGGGAGGAAAGCTATGGCAAATCTAGACAGCATTCTAAAAAGCAGAGACATCACCCTGCCAACAAAAGTGCGCATAGTCCAGGCCATGATTTTCCAAGTTGCAATGTATGGCTGTGAAAGTTGGACCATAAGAAAGGCTGAGCGCAAAAGAATTGAGGCCTTTGAACTGTGGTGCTGGAGAAGAATCCTGCGAGTCCCTTGGACTGCAAGGCGTTCAAACCGGTCGGTCCTAGAAGAGATCAACCCCGACTGCTCTTTAGAAGGCCAGATCCTGAAGTTGAAAATCAAGTACTTTGGCCACCTAATGAGAAGGAAGGATTCACTGGAGAAGAGCCTAATGCTGGGAAAGATTGAGGGCAATAGAAGAAGGGGACGACAGAGAATGAGATGGCTGGATGGAGTCACTGAAGCAGTAGGTGTGAATGTAAATGGACTCCAGAAGATGGTAGAGGACAGGAAGACCTGGAGGAATGTTGTCCATGGGGTCGCGATGGGTTGGACACGACTTCGCAATTAACAACAACAAAGGATGACCCAATAGACCATCATTATGGTTAAATGATGATCCATTTCCTGGCAAGGCTGAACTATACTGATGACCATATAGACATTACAGATAAAATTATGACAGACTCTAGAAGTGGGAGAAGTCAAAATAGAAATATGCAAAACTGAATCAGCGTATGGCGCCTATTTTAGAAATAATCTTGCAGATTTTGGGGGGGGGAAATTTCACATATAAAATATGCCTAATAATTTTATTAAAATATGTAAAATATATAGATTTGCTTATGTGGTAAACATAAGTTTTATTCCTGATATATTTAGGTTCACTGTCAAAACTAAAATATCACACATTACAGATGAAGTAGTACCAACATTTTTCTAAATCAATTTGTATCTGGTGGGATGAAGACGCACATTCCCCCACAATATGATTTATGCCAATAGCAAATTCATGTCTTTCTAGGTCCCCTCATACCTCAGGGACATGTTGAACTGGTATTAATGGTCCCAACTCTACTCATAGATCAAGGCTTGAACTTCCTTAAACTACACTGAAAAACAATTCATCAGCAGAACTTATCCTGAACATTTTCAATGGAGTTTTCTATGTGCAAATAAACACTATCTTTCTTTTGTACAGTCATAATCATGACAACATCACTAACATTAACCCAACAAGTTAATATAGAACACAATGTTTAATAATGTTGAAAATTTGATCTCTAGATAGACATCCACTCAAAGATTCCATAATAAAAATGCATGTAAGAAATGATTAGACAGAAAACAATACCCAGACCTGTGTTCCTAATATAGAAATGGTTTTTTTAAAAAAAATTATCTGCCGTTCCTTTTCACTTCATTAAATTTACAACATTCCAGCAACACATAATTGATTTTATATTCTGATTATCTACTTTATAAATTAACCATCCTGCTCTTAAAATAAAACGTTAAAGTTATATAAATAACATCTGAAGAATAATTAAATACTAAGTTTGTATCTATTTTATTTGGATGTACCACCTGCATCTTTAATCTACAATTTTCTTATTATATAGCTATAAAGTGTACCACATTTGTCAGACACACAAATATTTTTAAAATAGCTTGTTTGGGATATCAGCTTCTATTTGTGGATAGAGTATTTAATGAATTTTGATTTCTAGTGTCAAAAGAAACGCATATTTTTATTGGGCTCAGTGATGCCACCTCTTTCTTTGTGAATATCAGTATTAAGATAAAAATTGTTTTAAAATTTTCACAGAAATTATAGCACAATCTCATAATCCAGAAGCACAGACATACTACTATGGAGGGGTTTTTTACAAATGAAATTTGCTAACAGTAAGTTAGACTTACCTTCTTGTAGGCACACAGGTTTATCACTTGGTTTCCAGCTTAGGGAGCCATTAAAATGTCTCTCACAAAGCTTTTGGGATGGACCCTTAAGCCTGTATCCTTCTTGGCAATGAAACCGGACAACTGAACTTTCAAAGAAAACACCTGTGCTGGGCATTTTATATCCATATTCAGGGAATCCAGGATCAGAACAAGCATGGAGTTCATCAAAACCTACATCAACAAAGATGTAAAATATTTATGTTCAGTCAGATAGTTACATCCTATTCATCCTAATCTTCCTATCTCCTACCTTCCTATTATTTGCAAAACTGACTTGGGATACAGATTCCAAAACACAACTTGCATGGATATTTCCAAAGCCTGTAGCAAGATATCTCAGTTGATTCCCAAGCATGTGTTTAGCTTGCCTTTTGCACAGATACCATCTCACTTTTTGCCATTTTAATTCTATGCATAACATTTATTTATTCTCTGTGTGTGTAGATTTAATTTTTTTTTAGCCTTTGAATATCTGGCCCTTTTGAGATTTCCCTATATGCATTATGGTGGTCCAGTCTCAGATTTTATCTGAGTTCATGATTACACTCTTTCAGCTATATTAGGATATGCAAGTCAGCCGGGACCCATTTTTTAAAATTGATTTAATTCAAATCAATGTTGTGATGAGTTGTTTATTCATAAAGATTACATGCAAAAATTTACCAAATTACCAAATCAGTTTGAAAAGAGGAAATTTTATTATATTGTGTTTTAATCAATTGTTTATACAGCCCTAGGCTTTACATGTATTTTATGCATGTTCAAATTTTATTCAAATGTTATTATACCTATTCACAACCATCTAGTGATCACAGAGTTACAACTATGTCATGGGGCACAATCATGGAAAGCATGCAAGACTTCACTTCCCTACAATAGGAAAAGGAGAATGAGATATCTTTCGAACTGAGTCAGTTATCGTAAGGCCGATGCCATTAAACCTGAACATTTGCTGAATACCAACACAATTTCTTAGCTGACATAGCAAGAGAGTAAATGATGTACAGTGAGAGAGAAGCCTAGAATTTTTTTAAAAAATCAAATACGCAGTTTACTATATTAATTATGTCTAAAAAGAATCTGCACACTAAGCATAAATGTTTTCCATTCTGCATGCTTACGCATTTATTATTATGTTGGTATTGCTACCTGATGAAAACATTTCAAACAGTCTTTCAAACATTTCATATTGTTCAAATATGAAAACAGAAATGATGCAGTTACTATTCATGTGGAAGACACCTTAGAGAGACCTACAGACGTACATAGAACAAATGATCTGGAGATATTTGCACATACATATATTGAATATATAACAGAATCTGCCTATAACTAGCAGTTGGTAAATAATGATAGTGCAAAGTATATTGATAGAGCAAAATATTATTATTGGCACTGATTATCACAAACCAGTTCTGCAGGTTCACTTTAGCATTTCCTTAAATTTAATACTAGCAACCTAAGTTATGTCAATTTATGACTTAAGCAGTATGATTTGCTGTACTTACTTACTGGCTGGATAATTTGGAGTTCAAACGACAATTGACTGAAACTTTTTAAATCTTAAAATAGATTGGACTATAAAGACTGCATATAAAAACAAAATGGATGTTCCACACTTAGTCTTAAATGGTAAAAAACCAATTCTAACATTTGTCTCCAAAACCCCCAGCTCCACATACCAACAAGAAAATATTGATGAATCTCAGAAATAAATTCTTTCTATGTGGAAATCAATACAAGAGACAATTGTCTTAGCTCATGATGAGACTAAAAATAACACAAAGGAGATAAAAGAACAACTTTCTAATCTAAACATACAAATTTAGAAAATAACTACAAAAAGGAACCAGTAACCCAGAAAATAGAAGGAAAATTAGAGGAAGCAGATCCAAAGATGGAGGACCTAAAGGAAGGAATTAACAGACTCAGACAAATGAAGAATTAGAAGATACAGCAATAACACCGGAAATAGAAAAGATATCTTGTCAAGATTTCAGAACACATTTGAGGATAAGGAAGAAGAGCTGATTGAAGGGAAGATAAAGCTGTCAGAAGAATTATGGAAAATTGGAGAAGGAGGGAGACTGTTTAATGAATATAAATGGACTGAGTGTTCTTTCAAATATACCTTAATCAAATTGTATTTCTTACTTCAAACAATATACATAAAAATAGGGGAAGAACTACTTGAGGACTCAAATGCATTGACTTGGAAAGTTAGTTGGCAAAGGAAGAAAGCCAAGTAAGACTGAAGAAAATAGAGGTTTTGACCATTAGATGGGACATTATATTATTAAATGGCTAAGAGAATGGATAATTGTTAGAAACAAAAGTATTACTATAACTAGAAAGATAGGATATGCAACTAGAATACTGTATTTTGGGATGAGAAAGGAAATATGAAAATGCCAAGAGGGTCTGAATAAGGAAAACGTTTGGTTACCCAAATATTATTTACAATGAGAAAACTATAAGCGATAGAGATGGGATATTATATTATTAAACAGATGTTTGAATATGGTTAAGAAAATAGATAACTTTTGGAAATAAAAGTATTATCATAACTAGAAGGATAGGATTTCTAACTAGAATATTATGTTTTATTATGAGATGAGAAATATGAACATTCTAAAAGGGTTTGAATAAGGGAAGCTTTTGGTTACCCAAATATAATATATTATGAGAAAATTATAAGCGATAGAGATATTTTGAACACTGATGGGAAATTATTATTTTTTTAAAAAGCAGGAAAAACAGGATACTGATGGAACAAATGGATTTTAAGTGCAAATGCAATTGAGATATGTTTTGTCTAGAAAAAATATTATAAACTAACATTATTATGTATAATACCAGAAAAATGCAATGAATTAAATAAAGATATAATTAATTGTATATGTATTAACAGCAACAAGAATTGTAATTGCCCAGTGTGGGAAAAATGCATACCACTGGAAGAGAGGATCGAAGAAGCACTGGATGGTGTAGTATTTGAACTAGACTGAGAAAGTTAATATGTACCACCTAATTATCAATGGACAACACGTTGTTTATTAAGTATTTATGATTTAAAATTAGAAAATTAATAAAACGTTTACAAAAAAACCCATAATTGACTACAGAAGGATTTAGCTTTCAATGGATTTCCTATGCACAATTAAGAGAAAGATTTAATATAGATTTTAAAGATATCAAAAACAGAATGTGATAAAACAGTGAATTATGTACAAATGATGAACATATGATTGCTAAAATGTATAAATAAAAATTTGAAACAGAGGAAGAACAAGTTAAAGAATATATGGTGAAATGGCAAAGAATTTTGGTTTCATATACAAGTGGATCAATGGGAGAGAATGCTGTTACAAAGTCAGAAATTCACATTGTCTTACAATTTAAGAAGAACCTTTTCAAATATGCTCTCAGGAGGAAAACCAATAATCAAAAACCCTTTGCCAATCTGAGTTTAAGAATGAAGTCAGAAAGATCGGATTAGCAATTTCAAAGGCAAAGAACAGGCAAAGTGAAAGACAAACCTGCGAACACAGAATCATCTACATATATCCAACTCAAAGGAAGGACAGACCTAGCCCAGTGGTGGGATTCAGCCGGTTTGCACCGGTTTGGCAGAACCGATACCTAATTTTTTGTTGAATTCAGTGAACCGGTTATGATAAATCTGCACAAGCCACCCCTGCCGTTTTGCTTTTCTCTTTTTCTTCAGGAGGCCCTTTGAAATTGTTCCCCCCCCCCTTTGTTTTTCTGCCTTAAAATCCAAAGCAGCCACTCAGCTTCTTATAAAAATCATACCGGTAGCTACCATATCCTCAGCGGATGAGGAGGAAAATGTGTCTGTTCTGGATTTTAAGACAGAAAAGTGAAGGGGGGGGGGACAATTTCAAAGGGCCTCCTGGAAAAAAAGAGCAAAGCTTTTCTGTTTGCAGTTCGAAGCAGGTGTCGAGGTCAACCCTGTGGGAAACAGATCTGCTTCTCAAGGGCTTTGCAGAATCATCGGGGAAGGGGAACCTGGTCTTCCTCGCCCAGCTACAGCTGGAGTAGTTTCCCGGAGCTTTGCATCCTTCCATACAAGTGTCCTTCCTTTCCTCTCTTCTGCTGGGAGGAAAGCAGCAGAAAACAGGGCTGCCATTTCCGGAACGGAGAAGGGAGACGCCGGCCGATGCAGGGTGGCAAGAAAGTGTTCACAAGAAAGTGTGGTGGTGGTGATGGAGGGCTTGCAGAGGGAGGCGGCAGGGGAGGCTTGTGCAGATTTATCATAACCGGTTCACCGAACTCAACAAAAAATTAGGTATCAGTTCTGCCAAACCGGTACGAACTGGCTAAATCCCACCACTGACCTTGCCTACAAAAGTAGTAAAGATAACAAAACAGATAAATACATAACCATGCATTGGAATAGACAACCAGTTCAAAAAGAATTATAACCACCAGACTAGGTCACCAAGATACAGGACCTGCTGGAAGAGCTACTGTAGGTTCCCACAGTTTTAACAAAGCTAATAGAACGGAGACTATATGAATCTCAGGGGAGATGCTGTTTTACAGAGAAAGCACATCTCTTGAACCCACAAGATGGCTAGGGACTGAAGTACACCTAGTTTTCCAGATGTTACCGATTTGGCAGAAACAACAAAAGGAAAACTATCTTAAAGGTGCACATTCCTAAGCCATATAGGAATCCATACCTTGAGTTGCTTCTGGAATCTCACTGGTAACCATGCACGTCAAAAAGGAGAAGAGTTTACATGGACAGTAATAGACTGCATTCTGAACTTAATAAGAGTATTGTATTGGTCAAAGAGGAAGTCTTTAGGATATGAGTCCCTTTGAGAGAGATCTCCCAAAGTCAGCAATTGGCACACCAAATAAATTGGACCCTCAAATTTTACACCAGTTCTGCATGGTGCGACCCTATCCTTAAGATGTTCCACTTGTTTCTCAACTCTCATGAGGACTCATGTTGCTTTAGAAAGGATTGCCAGGTGGCATTCTGCAGATGCAAAAAGGCAGAAAACAATTATGTTTTACTAATCATGAAGATCTTAATTTGAGCTTGTACAAGTGTTCAATCAGACTTTATTTCAGACAGGAATAAACAGGCCAAGAACTCATAAATCACACTCCCGCCTAATATTAAGTTAAAGACTAAA